TAACGTTTCCCTCCATTTATAAGACCTGTATACGATAAGGGTGTAGGCACATGAAGTAAACATCACTTTAGGAACGGCAGTGGCAGTAGCACTCTGAACACTGATAAGGGTATATCAGCCGTGCAAAGCTGTTTTTCAAGCTCTGATCATTTTCAGTTCTAGGCTGATGAGTGTAGTATCTGCCAAATGGGAACCCTGTCTTAACATGATTTCTAATCTTGGATACAGAAGGTCATGCTATCTAGGACAAGACCAGAGACCACTGCTAAGCAATGTACCTCTGGGGTCTGCACGGGCTACGCGCTTCAGTTCGATATGTTGTTTTAACCTGCGAAAACCCTACGTAGAGGGAGACGGACCTCTTTCACGTGTGATATTGCCACGAGCCTGGAAAGGTGCTCAACTCGATTTCCTCACTGCTTCAAAGCAAGGGGGTTTGGGGCTTAGCATTCTCCATGGAGAGCTCTCAGAAACTCAACCTCCTGCTCTATACAGTCCAGACTAGACATCTCATTTACCTACTGATTTTCCTGTTAACAGAAAGGCACAATAAGGGCTGATATTTGTGTTTGAAGCAGGGTGTTCAGGTTTCTCTTTCGTTTTGGAGCGAGGAAGCTGTTTATAGGACTACTAATTTTATGTAAAAGCTTATGCTGGACATTTACTTAAAATCACAGTGGACTGATTTAAAGCCAAGCAACTGAAAATCAGCAAGAAGGGAACCATGATTTAAAACTAATCAATTTTATTCTGGTTCTGCATGCATGCTTTAGATATCTTCCCCAGAAAAGTCTAGTAACCATTAATAGATGTTGTTTTGCAATCAAATATAACTCTTGTTCTTAACTGGTTATTTCTTGATAACCAAGAGAATATATTACCTTTACACAATTATTTGGCCAATTACGTAACTTGGTATATCTGCTTGCCTGGATTCTTATCATCTACTCTATAATGTTGGAAAACACTGAATGTTGCACTTTTTATTAGACGATAAATACTTTACTTATGATTGGTTTCAACATGGATTTGGAAGGAAAGCTCAATCGAACATGCATAAACTCAGCATTTTCCATATTATTAAGTAAAACAATTTATACGCTATTTACATAATGGGTGGGGGGGGAGAGGATTCCCAAAATGTGTTTTGCATTTGAAGCCGGTTTATTAAAACAAAAGAAGCATTATATATAGCAACAAATAGATCTGCTATTTTTGGACACTACAGCCAAGATCTTAAAAGTAATATTTCTCACTCTCATACCTTTCTTTCTATTCATAGACTGAAAGAAGAAAACAAGTCTTCCTGCGTTTTGAACTACCAACTGGTTTTTCCTCTTTGAATAAACTAGTTACTGAAAACAACTAGTTGAATAAACTCAAATCAAGAAGATGACTACAAATAAAGCATTTGCTCAGAATCTGGTTCAGCGCTTTTCAAGGAGCTGGTTCTAGGTACTGAGCCAGGGATTTCCCCCCAGTCCTATGGGTTGCATGTCTTTTTGAGTGTAGTTGTAACACTGCATGTAGCTATCATGGAAGGTGCACCTAAAACGGGAGCAATAAACTTTGGTGCAAACTGTGTCAGAGTTTATTCATTCACATTAATAGCATGTGTAGACGCGCCCAGAGGAGTCTTAAAACACAGCGACTTATGTGTATAACGTAATTTTTGACAGCTTGAGTTCAGCCTCCTAGAAAGAAAAAAACTGCAACTGTTTTTTCAACTATACATGCATGTGCAATGCTACAGACACTGCAGAATTCGCTGTTCACTCCTGCCCCAGCACGCACGCCCCACAAAGCCTGCATTTTCAGGTATTCTTTTCTAACACAAAAGTATTAATCTGATCTAGTTGGAGAGCATGGAACCCTCTGAAACATTCACCCATGGTCTCAGAAACACACTTCATCCTCTTCTCAAATAATCAAGGTGGAATTTCTCCCATCACGTGGCAAACCAAAAGCACCGATTCTTGTGAAGTCTACTGCACTTATGTTTCAGGAAACTCTTTCCTATCTCCTACCCATAGGTATAAGATGAAGAGGTTTTACTCCAGAGAAACAGTTCTGCCCAAAGATTGCTGAACGAGGAACTCACACAAATCTCATTGTACTTCCCAAATCAGAAGCCAAGCATACACACGTACAGTATTTAAGAAAGAGCAGCGACATGCTCTGTGAAAGCGTATTGCAATAAAAAAGACGGAGGCAGCAATTAAATCTGCACTAATACAGTAAAATCTAACTGCCATATCCCAATGCAAAAAGGATGTACACACTGAGCAAGCAAAAGGCACAGTGGGAATAGGCTGTGCTGAAAAACATTCATTTATTGCCATAAATCGCTTTATAAATAATGTACAAAGCATTAAAGTATTACAAGAGAACTAGCTCACTGCAAGACTTTACGCAGGTTGCTCACTTCACTAATATCACAAAATCCAGAATAGGCGAGTCAAATCCTCTCTTCTCCTATGGTGAACATTACTGGACTAGCACAAATCCTCCTTCCCACCTTGAGCAGCTGGGTTGAAAATGCTGCATGATTAAGTTTGGTTATTTTATTCTCATACCACTCAATCCACCGGACAATTTAGAACAACACAGAAGAATCAGCCATCTTGTCCCAAGAGAAATACAACGATCCAGGTGTAGTGGGTGCTACAGGGTAAATTTATAGCCCATGGCATGACCAGCAGGAGGGCAGGGGACAAATCAGTCTGGACAGACCTTGCATCATTAACTTTTCCTTTAGGATCCATCTCTGCCATTGAGAGAGACAGCATGGTAAAACTAGATGAACTTAAGGTCTGACCTAATATGGCATTTCTTGTGTTCATGCGGTAGAAAATTGCAAGAGGTAGGCTTATAAAAAGCACTCTTCACACACTGTGCCTCGCCTCCGAGAAGATTATCAATTTGCCACTTTCATAAACCTGCGTTTTCAGCTTATTTCCTTTCAAATGACAAGTAGTGGTTTTAAAAGCTTATCGAGAGAGAATCAAACACCACTAGGAAAGACAAATATTTTAAACAATAAGAAACAGTAAATCAGTAAAGATAATTAATCTTTAGCGAAACATTTCCTTTAGTCCGAGCGTAAGTCACAGAAGTTTGACGTTCTTGCATGAGATATCTGCATTATATGAAGAATATCCTATGCATCTTAGCTTATCTACTTTAAATTAACTAGCCTATGTGCACCAATACACATCAAAGGAGGCAGATGGGGAAAACAAGGAGAAAAACAAATAGCAGTGATAAAAAATGGTGTAAACATCTTCAATAAAAAATAATAAGAGCTGGGACAGTAGGTGTAGAGATACTATTTTGCAGGTGATAAAAATGATGCAAGTTGGCTGCCGAGGTGTAAAATCTTTTTAAGACCATGACCATTCAACAGAACCCCCAAAACAATGAGAAGATGTATATGCTGCTCAAATAGAGGGTGCTGACAAATATACAGGAGCCAGTTACCCAAAGATGCAGTAATGCAGCTCACGTAAACATACCTAAGCCAACTTCAAACAGAGACAAAATGCATGCAGTCATTTATTACTTTACTACTCGTCTCCTATTTCTATGCATCACTGAGCACACAAATACTGAGTACACAAGTACTTTGTTTTGAAGGAGCAGTTTTTAAGACACTTGAAAAAGCAGATGTCACAGACCCCTAGAGAAAAAGGTGCTGAAGCTACCAAGGACATATGGTCCAGAAATGTTAACAAAGCTGGTCAACAAGAGAGCTTTCAGGCCAGAGACTCAAGTCAAGCAGTAGTTCCACTCAGCTGAAGAGTGAAGGTAGGTAAAAAAAAGTACATTTGAGAGATCACAGCAAATGAGGATCAAAGGGACCCCAGGAGGTCACAGCTAGTCCAACCCCCTGCTTAAAGCAGGACCAGCCCCAACTAGATCATTCCAGCCAGGGGTTTGTCTATCTGGCCCTTAAAAACCTCCAAAGATAGAGACTCCACCATCTCTCTGGGTAACTTGTTCTAATGCTTCACTACCCTCCAAGTGAGAAAGTTTTTCCTAATACCCAACCTAAGCCTTCCTTGCTGCAACTGGAGCCCATAGCTCCTTGTTCTGTCATCTGCCACCACGGAGAACAGTCCAGTCCCATCCTTTTTGGAGCCACCCTGCAGAGAGTTGAAGGTTGCTATCAAATCTCCCCTCAGTCCGCTCTTCTGAAAACGAAACAAGCCCAGTTCTCTCAGCCTCTCTTCACAAGTCTCGTGTCCCAGCCCCCAAACTATTTTTGGTGGCCTTCTCCACTGGACTCTCCCCAACTTGTCCACATCGTTTCTATAGTGGTGGGTCCAAAACTGGACATAGCAGTCCAGATGTGGCCTCACCAATGCCTACTAGAGGGGAATAATTATTTTCCTTGCTCTGCTGACAATGCTCTTACTAATGCATCCCAGGATGCCATTAGTTTTCTTGGCAACAAGAGCACACTGTTGACTCATACCCAGCTTCTTTTCCACTGTGACCTCCAGGTCCTTTTCTGCAGAGCTGCTGCCTAGCCAGACACCCCCCAGCATGGGAGTCTTCTGTCTTAGGTGCAGCACCTT